TTAATAAGAGAAATTAAATTATTTTGTGCTTTATTGTTATTCCCAACCAAACTTAATGCTTACAAATACATCTTCTGTAGAGTTTATGCCAATTTATACTTTGACCAACAACACGTAAGTGCTGTTTCTCCACAGCTTCGCTAACAGGTATGCTGTTAAACTTTAGGATTTTGATAATCCTAAAAGTGAGAAAAAATATCTTACTTTTAATTTGCATTTCTCTTGTTATGAGTCATGTTAAACATCTTTTAGTATGTGGAAGGGTCATTTATATATTTTTTTGGGGAGGTGAAATTTCTGGAAACAAATTTTCTTTATTTTTTTCCTGTGTTTCTAAGAGTTCTTTGTATAATAGGAAAATTAATCCTTTAACTGTGATATGAGTTGTAAATACTTTTCCAAGTTTGTCATATGTTTTTGACTTTTTTTTTTTGGAGACAGGGTCTTACTCTGTCACCTCAGCTAGAGTGCAGTGGTGTGATCATAGCTCTCTGTAGCCTTGAACTCCTGGGCTCAAGTGATCCTCCTACCTCAGCCACCTGAATAGCTGGGACTACAGGCACACATCACCATGCCCAGATAATTCAAAAAATTTTTTAGAGATGGGGGTTTGGTTATGTTGCCCAGACTGGTCTGGAACTCTTGGCCTGAAGTGATCTTCCTGCCACAGCCTCCTAAATTGCTGGGATTATAGGTGTGAACCACTGCAACTTGCTGTAAGATCGCAGTGGTACTTTATTCCCAAAGTAAATGTTAACTAGAAGCCCAGTATAAAAATATTTTAAAAAGAAGCTGCAAAGGTTAGGGAAATTGTGTAGGAGTAAGTTATTTAACCCAGAATATTGTGATGCCTATGATCATAGACAAAAGGAGAAGTTGTTCAGATGATACATTATTTCTGGACTTAGACCTTGGTGGCTGTTATGGGTTGAATTGTGTCCCTCAAAAAAGATACGTTGAAGTTCTAACTCCTAGTATTTCAGAAGGTGACCTTATTTGGAAAGATGGTCATTATAGAGGTGATCAAGTTAACATGAAGTCATTAGGGCATCCTTAACACAATATGACCAGTGTTCTTACAAAAAGAGAAAATTTGGACATAGACACAGAGGGAAGATGATGTGAAATCACAGAGAGAATACCTTCCATAAGAAATGTCTAAGGCTACTGGAAGCTAGGAAAGTGGCATGAAACAGATTCTTCTTCAGACCTCTCAGAAGGAACAAACCCTGCTGACACCTTGATTTGGAACTTCCGTGTTCTCCATACCTGAAACCCAGTGAATTTCTTCTATTTAAGCCACACAGTTTGTGGTACTTTGTTAAAGTAACTCCAGGAAAGTAATATACATAGCAGCTTATGTGACCAGTTGGACAGAGTTTTGGACCTGGAGTGCCCTATACATTCCAGAATATATGTTCACTGTAAATAATGTTTTCCCGGCAAGGGTCAAGGACCTTAATTAGTTATATGCTTGTTATTTATCAAAGGTCTTTTCTGGCTCAGCTAAGTGGATAATCCTTGTAATTGTTGAGTTCATCACTTAGAGTTGGAAAAAGCCTGTCTTCATGTACACACTTTTCATGTCAAACCAGAGACAGTAAACTGGCAACCTGTTCGTAAGTACTTTGGTGCATAGTGTTTTAAAAACTGGAAAAATGTACCTGCTCACTAATATTTAAGATTAGATTTCTTATAAGCATTTCTGGATGCTGTGGTTTGAATGTCCCCTCCAAAACTCATGTTGAAATGTACTTGCCATTATAAGAGCATTAAGAAGTGAGACTTTTTTTTTTTTTTTTGAGACAGAGTCTCACTCTGTTGCCTGGAGTAGAGTGCCGTGGCGTCAGCCTAGCTCACAGCAACCTCAAACTCCTGGGCTCAAGCGATCCTTCTGCCTCAGCCT